CGGGAAAAACGCGTGCAGACTGGGGACAGAGGATCAGGCGCTTCTTGGGATGAGGACGATTGATCGTATTCCTGAATAACAATACGCAGAAATGTTATTACAAATATCTTTTAGCCTTATTCTGGGATCACAATGGAATGTTACATACATCTTAATATTTTATTTCAACCAAATTTCTGTATTCTAAGTTGCAATATATGCCCAAATTACTTTTTCCGGAATACGGTCAATCGACCACGCCCTTATTTTTGGGTGCCAATGACCGACTACTGCATGAGAGCCTGGGACAAGCGACCTTTGACGGGTTGGGGAGACTAAGGCCAAATGTTCAAATCCCAAGTAAGCCATGCCTTAGGCTCAAATTAGTGCAAAAAAATACTTGCTGTCCTAAAAATATCTAAGGTCTTAGGAAACCGTTTTTGTCAACCCAAGAAAGTCCTTAGAACGCAATTTTTTTTGCAAATTTTCTTTGCCAAGAAACACTTTGCTTAATACTGTGAGAAGTAACATTATTGTTTGTCTTTATTCAGTCATATTCCTGACAGCTGTCCCAGCAAGGATTCAGGGAATTGAAAACAAGCGATTTTTCAACACAGATGAAAACCAACTGACGCTGGAAAGACAAGACCCAAAACTACAAACCTGGAAGACGAAAACTTATCTCTGATAACAACTACATGAACCTAAATTTAAGACACTCTATTGTTTCATAGTAAGTGAATAGGAAGTCTTCCTTGGCTGACATAAAAAGCAACAATGGAAGAGACTTTCATTAAGCAACAACTGTAAAGTGTCGATGTAAATATTATTTCCATTTTTTTTTTGTCTCTTAGAATTTAGCTTAAGATGGTGAAGCGCTTTTGATCAGGATATTTTGAAGAGCGCTATTTTAGATGAAAAATTATAAAATGAAATGAAATGAAAATGCAAAAGTTTAACAAGTGATGTAAGCCTGATAATTTACACTGATTACACTTGATTTTTACTAAAATACAAATTCCTTCAACAGAATAATGCAGAATCTAAGGTTTTCTTAAAGAATGAAAGGAAGTAGACGAAAATGTGTCCGGCCTTTTAATACATTTTCGAACACCAGTAGCATGTCCAAAACCAATCTAGCTTCCAGGGTCTCTCCTCTACCTTGTTCCCAGGGTTCTCTCCTAGTCTTACTCTCTCCGAGGAACGAGTAGGAGAGGACCTTGGAAACCTGGAAACGATGTTTTTTTTTTTCATTTCGCCACCTTGTTATGTTACAATAATAAAAAAATAACAAAGTTGTGTTACAAAATGGCAAGAAAGCCGATAGAAATCACGAGGGTTATGCAACGTGGGCTTTATCTACTAAATTACAAAAAAACGCTAAATATTAATTGAACGGCGGTGGTAGAGTAACAAAACGTAGCTTTAACGTATTAAAGAAAAAATGAAAAAAAGCAACAAAAAAAGAAGAGAAAAGGAGACGGGGGATCGAGGGAAAAGAATAAGTTACGTAAGGTGTTTCTTCAGTTTGTTGTTAAAAATTAATACACTAACTGAACTTTTGATGCCTGGGCTGAGAGAATGTAATGTGTAAGAAGGAAACTAGTTTGGTTTAAAGTCATGTCACCCCCATATTTCAGTTGCACTATGGGACTTGTTTAGGGACACAATTTTTTCCCAGTGACCAGCGCAGCCTGAAACTGGTCCAAATACTGAATTGGAGCTCTAGCATCCCCAAAAATTTAGTCTGCTCCAGGCTCCAAAATAGTAATGTGCAGAGATCGTTAAGACCCTTGTCCAACTTTCGCGATTCCTCCCTTAACTTCGTTTTCGCGACTTCCCTACTACTGAGAGACTGGCGCAGTTTACCTGAAACATTTCCATTCATCAGGTCCGGTTGAGTTCTAGAGAATTCAATTCTAGGACCTGTATCAATCTGTAAGTGAATGATTTGTCAGGTTACTTAAGGTCCATCATGTCACATCAATTTGCCGACGACAACACAATCTATGATCACGGAAGACCATCTAATTTGATGGACTGGATAAGCAACTGCAACAGGCCCTTAATCATCTTTCCATGCACCTGGTCATCTGACTGTAATCTGCGACTCAACTTCCAAAAGACAAAGGTGATCCTGTTTTACTTTCAACCAATGGCAAGCGCTCATGGACTGGAGAATTATTCAGCGCCAGTTATCAGAGTTAATAGAAAACAACGACCCCAGAGCAAAGGTGTATAGGTAAAAGAGAGTCCGTTTTGCATGGGTGCGCGTGGCTCACTAGTCTATATAATAAGTAAACACAACAAATAATGCTTAATGGTGCAGTAAGTCTTACTGCAGATCAGGAGCCATATTCGGGGTAGGAGACCGTAACTGGATGCCTTCTCCAGTAGTCGGGTTGGCTCCATCAGAATAGCCAAATGTGCTATTTTGAGCATAAATTGTGCCATCTTGTGTGACACGCGCGCGCATTTTCGCGTGAGAGCCGCGTAAAGGAAAAACAAACAAAATGGCGTCAGAAATCACCCCCGCAGGAGATGAATAAATTCAGTTTCCGTCGTCATTTCCTCCTCTTTACTTGAGGCAAGCTGTGAACAGGCTACCCGAGTGTCGCTATGCAAATCTTTTTTTCATGGAGGATCTCAATTTGTTTGGGAAAGATTACAATCAGATAGACTCTGTTTCAGACTGTTCATACACCTTAAAATGGCAATGACTTTATTATTTTTTTTATATTTATGTTAATTACATCCCTCGATACCTCGATTCCAGGTAGAAATGCGATTGAGGCGTCGAGGGTAGGGCTTTCCAGAAGTGGCTTGAGATTTTCCAAAATGTTTCCCAGAATCTCTCCTGAAAAGTTGCTCAAAAGTCGCCCGAAAAAACAAAAACTCTTTTTGGTCTGATGCTTAAATATGCAAATTGTACAACAAACGTAAGATTCCTAATCATTTTTGTGCAAGTTTGCGGCGTAACCAACGTTGTTAAGTAACTTTGTCCTCATGTAAAACCAAAACATGTAATGAGCCAATAAAATGTTGAATGACCTTCTTCACCCGAGACAGTCAAGTAAGTCGAGTGTGAATCTTCGTCTTCGTTGAATTTTCTCTAAACTGCTAACCTTGCAGCCAGGCTACTTTTATCTTGCGCCCATGATCTGCCCCACGGGCTGGTGCACGATATACCAAGTGAATAGCAAGACTCGAGTTACGCCACAAAGAAAGCAATTTTAAAACAATGATCCCTCGCCCTTAAAACAATAACACAATAAACTTCACACAATAGAACGAGTCAGTAGGGCAAATATTGACTTGGTATATCGAGCATCACCCGCCCCAGGGGAGGAGGATTTGGCTCCTTTTTTACAGGAGATTCATAAATTGTCTACTAAAACACCGGTGGAACCTGGAAGAAAGGGCAATTTAAGCACTAAAAGCTGCTCAGAATTATAAGATAACAGAATGCAAGAAGTTGCTCGCAACGAAAAACGTTGCTCGAAATACGAGAAGTTGCCAAAAAGTTGCCGAGCACTTGTGGAAAGCCCTAATTGCGGTTTTTGTTTCTCGTTCTGCGTGTTTAGTGAAAAACTTTTCGTTACGATATTAGAAACAAAACTATGCTCTTGCTCGATCGGCTTCCGAATTTCGAACTAAGCTCTCTGCCGTGGACCAGTTCACCGATTGCATGTATATCGGGTAACTAAAATAAGCCCAGCGAGGGTAGCCTGCGGCCTGCAGTCGACAAACAAACCCGTTAGCTCCCGGGGTCCCCTCGAGAGGTTTTTGTCAAGACCGCATTGGGAGCTAACGGGTTTGTTTGTTGGCTGCAGGCCGCTCGAGCCGAGATAAAAGCATCGCTAGTGAACGATCTGTGGGAAGAATTTCGAATCGAGTGAATGGACATGGAACTGCAACATCTCTGCTTTGAGTTTCTGGAGGAATTGAGGCCGGGGATAATTTTCCAGCGGAATTATTCGCCTCGAGCGACGGACACTCCGGAAATCACTGTTCGGCCTTGTCTTTCAGTCTTAGCAGTGGAACACCAAAATATTCCCTGCTAGCAGAGGTCTCTGCTAGCAGGGAAACCAAAATAGCGCTAACTCGCCGAAAACGCTTCAAAACGGCCTGAGACGCGGGCAAACAACAAAGAATACAACAAGGCAATAAGGTAAGGCGATTTTATTTAAAAACGTAACAATTTTTCTCTCTTTTAAGAAAAACCGTTTACATCCCATACAAACCTTTGTAAATAACCGTTTGTAACGCAACACCGCTAGCAAGCAAGAGTCACGTCCGCGTTCCTAAGTGTAGTGAGTTTGGGCCGCCTGTGTCTGGCGTTGGTGACCTGCCTCGCGGACGTAACGACATGCGCAGTACAAACACACCAACGCGAATGACTTTCGGTCGGCGTTCGTGACCTCTAGTTACGGATTTTTCAGCACTTCAGTGTATCTTGCAGTGCAAATTTAACTTACCGTAAATCCTCTATTAAGCCCCCCGGGGGGCTTATTTTTTTCAAGCACTTTTGAGGGGGGTGCTTAATATAGAGAGGGGGCTTAAAAGAGAGGGGGGCTTATTTAATTTAGCGAAACACCTCACCTGTGGCAAAAATACCGTGGTATGAGACAGAGTAGACTTAAGCGTTGTACAATTAAAGTCACTGTCAAAAATATTTAATTCACTTGTGGAAGCCTAAAAGTAACAAAAACAAAATTCTTATTCTTCAAAAATGTGCTTTCGGCCTCATGTTCTTCGGTAATTTTTATGAGAATGGTTACTTGTATTGATTTGTCGTACACAACTTACAAACGAAACTCTCGGGAAAACTCCTCTTATATTTACATTTTTAAATGGTGACAATTCTCCACAGAGAACTAGAGCGCAAAGTTGAGAAGTTAAGCATATGAAGTTGGAGGTCATGAGGCCGAAGACCAAAAACAATATGAACTTCCAGCCTGAATAAACCATAGCTGATCAGTCCACGTTAATCGTTGATCTTTTTGCGAAGAGTAAGGATTGGGGGAGGGGGCTTAATAGAGAGGGGGGTCTTATTAACTTTCCTCCTCTGAAAAGGGGGGGGCTTGTTTGAAAGAGGGGGCTTAATAGAGGATTTACGGTACTTCATTAGAAACGGTAACATGATCAGGCATTTTTATGATAAACCGTGATCTGTTCGTTTCGACAATTACAATCAAATTACTTTTTAGTGTTGAACAGTGTTAGTTTCAGTGTCCTTTACCTTTACTCATCAGTCAATTTCAGCTGCGCCCATCCCCCACCCCCTCTCCGGGCTACTGCGGGACATTTGCCCGCCGTTTCAGTCCGCCTAGGGATGGGCCATTTGCAAATTTTACGCTACCCAGGGACCGGGCATTTGCCAACCCTGGGGCTATTCCCGAGCTTTTGACATGCACGCGGTTTCCTATCAGAATATAACTACACAGAGGATATAACTGGAAAAAAAGCAGATTGACTCATCTGTCCAGGACAGGGTGTTGAAAAGACATGTTCTCGATTTTATGCATGCATTTGTTCATTGCTTATCAAGCCAGAATTACATAGCAAAACTCGAGAGCTATCGACGTGAATCAACAGTTTTTGGTTAGTGAATCAATTTCGGTTGATATTATTTGAAGAACATCGTTTCATATTTATAAAACTATTCATAACATATAACTTTACAGCGCTCTATTAATTTTAATGTCAATAATTTTATATCAATACTAAACCATAAACTGGGGCATGTCGTCTCGGCGTGAAGTCTTAATTAGAATCCTAGCGCTATTACAAACGAAGACGTTACCTGAAACAAAAAATCGTACATTAAAATGCTTAAAACGGCACTATTCGACTGTGCGATCAATGAAAAATGTTGCAGTGCTGACGGAGGACGGGGCATTTGCACTCTTTTTTAGTCTCCACCCCGGGGGATTTGACAGCTCAAGAGTCCCCACCCTCGGGAATTTGCCATCCAAGGCAAAAAAAATGCTATTCCCTGGGGGTCAGCCCGGGAAGGGGAGGCTGGGCGGAACTGGAAATGGCTGATGCATTATACAACAAGAAGAGCCAATGGTATGGCATCCAAGTGAAGTGCAAAAGAACCACGATTCGAGTTATTGGGGTAAATTTCAGTCTTTTTTATCAAGGGAAAAGATATTTCGTTCGAGTTAGCGGGGTATTCGAGTTATCCGACGAATTCCGAGTTAACCGAGTAAAAGTGAGTAAAAAGTAAGGTTAAATCCAAGAGAAATTGGACTTCGTTCGAGTTAGCGAGGAGTTCGAGTTATCGGGGCTCCACTGTATCTTATTTCGTCAGCAGCAATCAAAAGTATCTTCTGTTTAAAACAATAAATTTTATGCCTATACCAAAACTGGAAAGATTTTCATAAAAAGGTCGGATATGAAACTGAAGATTTTGTATCAACGATTTTCACCAAGTCTGACGTGACCAGTCCCTTTCTACGTCATCCAATAGAAGGGTTTTCTTAGTTGTTTTTAGGCTGTAACTTCCTCGTTTCGTTTATTTTTGTTTCCAAGGTTCCCACGCAACATGAGCATGATATTTGTAGGGGGCAAATGACTGCCACACTTGTGTATTGCTGTCTGAAATGCAGGAAATGCGAAAGAGCCTTTTCATTATTCCACATATAAATCGGTAATCTCACACGAAAAACTTCGTCTTTACGACCACAAAAATGTTTAAGAACTTTAATTTGGTGGTTTTGACCTTGTGGATCACTCTACCTAAACCAGGTAAATGAGAGTTAGTTATGTCTAGCTAGCTATTTATCATATGATAAATGTTTATGTAATATATTATTACCTCAGTTGTCGTTAGCCATTGATCCTTTATAACAATGTTTTTCGTCAGTACCAACTTTTCTCCGTTGATTTTAAACTTCTATTTATTTGTTGACTGTTAAGACACACGATTTTCGATCTACGTATTCACAAATTGAGAAATTCACAAAAGAACGAGTGAGTATTGACGTAGTATTACTCACAAGACGTGAAGACTTTGTGCAATGCAAAATTCCCACGACGGATAAAATTTACACTAATATTTAGACCCATGGGCATTCAAAATTCTCTTATTATAACCTTCTTTTTCTACTGGGAGAGATAAGGTTCGCTTATCTCATGGTTCATGGTACTATGTGGAGCAATACAATAAAGGCTCAATATTGCTTACCATTGTGTACAGTTACTTATGAGATATCAGTATTTTTTTGGCACATTGGTGATACAAGTTTTTTAGTATATCTAAAACAACAACTGAGAGACCTGACAGGCAATGCTTTCAATCCCCTTTTCTGTAATTTCTTTCTCCCATATCATCTACTTAATTAAAAAAGGTTTTGAAATAATTGGTGAATGTTTGTACATGGTAATCAAAATTGAGTTAGGATCAGTTAATACTTTTGGTGGTTTGGTAATCCGGCCGTGACCTGAGGACAAGACAAAGCCAGTGAACAAATGCAACAACAATAACATGGAAAACAACAAAAAGTAGCTTTTGCAATATCTTATATTCATTCAGTCTTGCAGAGAAAAGGAAAGTTTACAATAATAAACAAAAACGATTTTTGAGTGTTAACAAGTGCGCGTTTATCGAAGCTAGACAAGATAAATTTTATCAACTGAAGATTAACAACATAATTTAGCAATTATTGAATTCGGCTTTCGTAGAATGTGAAGAATTATGCAGATCTCGGAATATGTTATCTATCGAGGCTGAGGGCCAAGGTGGATAACATCCTCCGAGATCTGCATAATTCTTCACATCCTAGGAATGCCGAATTCAATAATTGTTTTATTATTCATTCAAAATAAAAGTTCTTAACAAGCTTTCCACCTCTTAGACTTTCTTCTAAACTTTGGCCTATTTTTCGGCACAGTTTCAGGATATAAACAGAGGTTTTTTCGCATCAAAAAGAATATAACATCCAACTAGCAATATGTTTTGGGTATTCGTGCTTTCCTTCCATTCAGGTTTAGTCAGAAATTCAGCTATTTCGTTTCGGATAGCCGTGAATACCATTTTTTTTTGTTCACTCGTGAATAAACAGCTAGGTCGCCGCGCCTGGAAACGAGGTTGATCGATGGTCTTTTGCCCTAACAGCCTCGTTTTCAATCAAATATATCATCGTTTAACCTTCGTTCACGGTCAAATATACCATCGAATCGATGGTATATCGCTCTCATCGTCCAAATTTGGTCAGCGCCGGTTGGTTATGAAGGATTAGTCGGCGGATTGGAGCCAATCAGAAACGGAGAAATAATTTGAATGAATAATAATTCCAGTTACTTAGTTTGCACTGTAAAATTAACCCTTTAGAGCAGAATATTTTAATAGGAGAGTTGAAAGGAGGCATTTAAATTTCGTGAGATCTGCACTGAGTATTGCAACGCTTGCAGTTTTTCCTCCAGTCTCATAAAGATAACAGACCTCCAATGAAACTTATAAAACTGAATGCATGAATACAAAATGAAGAAATATGTAGATCTCACGAAAAAAATATATATCTCTCATTGGAACCATAGTCAGTAGAGGACACTGATTAGGAAACCCGGCAAACACCAAAGTTGAAAACATTTATGGTGCTGTAGTTTATGTTGGAAGCTCCCTGACCGTGCACAATCCTTTGTTTTCTGTTCACAAATTATGACTGAATACATTAATGCGATGTTTCTATTGGTCAATAACTTCAAAATAATAGGAATGCTATTGAACGTTATGCACGGTCAGGTCCAAAAAAGCAGACAAACACCTATAACAAAGGGTTTCCCAACCATTCCACTAATTAACTATGTTGGAACCAAACCCTTCAACACTCACAAAAACGTAACTTTTAACCGGTATTACACAATCAAAGAAACTAATATATAGATTTAGCCAGGGCTAAAGGCGAAGCTCTCGATAATTTTTATTGTTTGCTCAAACAAAATATAAAATCGTATAATGCCGAGTGGCGAAGGCAACGAGAACGATGAAAAAAAACAACAATAGGCCTAATTAGCAAAAAAACAACTTTGCACGTGCAGCACGCTTTTTTAGTACATTTCTTTGCCGTTGTTTTGCACAACTGTTAAGTGAAACTTCCATGCAGAAACTTCCTAGTTACACGTTTTATGGAGGGAATGTCGGACGTGTTCTTGTTCACTCTTTTTTCACTATCGCTCATTTTCACCCGGGTGGCGGCTAGCATCTCTCTGCTACAAAACTTCATTTTGTTCCTCCAACAGAAAATGTCTCCTTTTAATTTTTTTTCTCTCTCGCTCTAGCTCCTTTTCTCGTTGAGCTTCGCTGGCCTGTCGCCCTACTTTCTCTTTTTCTCTGTCTTCCTCTTTCTCTGTTTTCCAAATTTGTGGACATGACAATTAATCTAAGCTTAAGGTGATTCCTTAGTAAAAGAACCTAACATAGACTGTAGATGAAACTTGGTACACTGATGTAACAAGTCAAGATGACGATAAAAAGGTAATAAAAAGTGGGGTCACCGTGCTTTTTTTTTGCCGTACAAGGCTGACAAATACAGCTATTTAGGACCCTTTGGCAGAAACCCCGCGCAGCCCAAAACTAGACAAAAAGGAGAGATTTTTTCGATAATGCATTTGGTATTGCACAGAATTTGAATTAAATGTATTGTTTATCCACTTACGTACCAGAAAAATGCCTTTTTTTGCCCTTGTTTTTTACTTTACGCTCCAAAGGAGACTTAATTTTGACACGCGCTACTGGACCCATTATAGCTCAATCCGCACAATTTAGTAAAATTTTCAAAAAACTGAACATAGATTCTTCCCAATTTTTTTCTCATTGAAAGGAAGCACTGGTCTTATTAAAATCATGAAATAAAATATGGGGTTCACCGTACTCCTTTTTGCGGCGGAGCTGCAGGAAGTGCGCACCACACGCATTTTCTCCGATTTTTGAGAGAGGACTGGGGCGAGTTTCAGAAGGCATGTATGTGGAAGGGGGAAGAAAGCATTAAAAAATCCATTTTACAGAATTTACATCGAGATATCACAGTTGGGACGCAATGTGATAAAGATGGCGCTTAAATGAGAATCAAAGTGAGTTAGCAGATTATCGAGGTTCTCCGTGAGGAAGTCGAACTGAGCAACACGCGTACTGCTTACGTTATGCACATTTCCCAACGCAAAGAGTCTCATTTTGGCAAGAAACAACCGGTAGCAAAAATTCTTATAGCGTTTCTCTTTAGTTAACTTTATTTTAATAATGTTACTTTAGATGCTCTTTTTCACGGCAGCCATCTTTTTATGCGCAGTAAGAGATGCGCAGTGCAAAACCAGTAGATCACCTTAATACTTAAAAAAAAACAACACGGATACAGAAACATTTTCCGCTTTCCGTTTTCGCCTTTATTGACTCTTTAGTTGTGTCTGCTTCACAAGACGCGGGTGGCCATAAGCTTTCCCGCCAAAATAACCTGACATTTGGCATCGGCTTACATGTAATGGGTGTACGGAAGGTCGTTCGTACGCTACGTCATAACCAAATTTTCTCGGATGGATAGTTTACCAAATTTTCTTACCCATGATGCGAGAGCTCCGCTATCATAGCCCCCTGTTTAATTACCCTTACGAGAAAAAACCCTTCTAGGAAAGCATTAGTGAAACTAAGAATTAGCAGTCACAAACCTAAGACTTGAAACAGGGATCTAAGATACTGACAATATACCACGTTATGAAAGGCTATACAGTAAAAAATTGAAGATCAAACTCACTTTATACTAGATTGCCCAAGCTATTTATTATGTGAGATATGTTCCCTAGTACGAAAATGGAAACTAAAATGCCGTTTCCGGGACTGTTAACAAAAGAACCTTTATTACCAAATGTTATGAATTCAACTAACCATTTCATAAAAATTCAATTAAATCTATTCATTTCATCATGCTTCGAATTGAGAGACAAACTTGTCCCCGGAATAAATACTCGTACTATATGAACAGCTTTACTTTATTTTATTTTAAGTAATTTTGATTAATTAAAGAATCAAGAATTAGTTATAAGTAGCTTTGCAAACTATAAAACTCTTCTGTTATAGTCATATCAATAAAGCTTCTTATTGTTGTTGGCTCTCGCTGAGTGAAGAATGATACGAAAAGGCCAGTAGGGGGGAAGAGAAAAACTCTCCTCGCCTGACCCTAACCGCAAGGATTTTTCGCAGGCTAATCCCGTGCAAACAGGGACGATATACAGAAAGGTCCAAATCAGGATCATTCAAGATGTTTCACATGTGAAACGAAAATGACACAAACCAGCAAAGTATTTGTTTAAAGAGCACTTTATCAAGATTACAGCGGAGCCCCATACATAAATAAACCAAAAATGCCGGAAAATTTGGTTATGACGTCAGCGTACGAAAGACGGCCCGTACAGACTATGGGTGTTGGGTAAAAAACTCAGTAGGGAAGGAGAGGGAAGGATGTCCCAGACATATTCGTTGCGTTTCGCTTTGGCGCAAACATAATCAACAAGGAAAACAACGGAGTTGCTCGAGAAAAAATCTTGGTTGAAATTTCTCGTGTTCGGCTTGGGACAAAATTTTCGGAAACAATTTTCTAAGCTTTACGTTTGCTTGGTCGCGTTTTTGGTTACGTTTTTGGTCACACTCAAGGGACAACCCCTCAACCCCACCCCCGGCGCTTGGTCAAAATTTTGACAGGTGAATTCGTGCGTGACAACTCATACACTTGCCGGGAAGCCTTTTTTCATTTCAGTCTACTTTTAAGGCCGCTCGATAAGTTTTTCAGGGTCAATACCTCTCACGTTTGAGCATAAACTACGTCGCCATAAACAAAGATTTGGCAAAATTGCCACCACAGTTGTATCAGACAAAGATGAAAATTTGTTATGATCGGAGTTGCAATGACATTGGAGTTGTCATAGCAACGAAATGACGCCACTAGCTATTTTACTTTCAGCAGTATTTCTCGGCACTGGGAACTATTCTTCCAAAATCGTTCACGGGAGCTTTTTCTTCCAATAGCCACCTCGATTTTCCTGAAGTTTAAGCGGAATCTGTAAGAGCGTTATCGAGATATTTGGGGATCAAGTTTTTATGGTTAGAAATACGGTAAAAAATGGACAATCTTGATGTTCGGCCGTTATCTGAAGAAAACGAAGCGCTTTTGGCATGCAATCTCACATCACAATAGTTCCAGTCTTTTCAAAAACATGTGTGAAAGATCATGGAGATAGCTCCAGCATGTATTGAGAAGCTCTTGTTAGCGGCTTTGTAAACATTTTGGTCTAGTTTAAAAAATTAGCGACTACTCGATAGATCTTTTAAAAAATTTCACATTCTCGAGATTAAGCGTAGTTTTAGGAGACCTTCGAGTCTCAAGATGATTGATATATTGTAAGGCAGTAAAATATGGGCTACAGTTCGCTAATTTGTTATCGGAAGTTTCGAGTTTACAAGTGAAAATTTCTCATTATTCATGGGTCTTGCCTCCAAGTTTCATTTTCACGTGAACAGCAGTAACTAGCAATGCACTTGAAGTATGCAAAAATGCTAACTATTGTTGTGAAAGAAAATTTGAAACTTGGAGACAATAATGAGCAAAAAAGAAGGCAAGTCATTGCTAAACAAAAAACAGGTCCGCTCTGTGGGCGTACATATGGCGAGAGTATAGATTAATGGTCGAATGGTGAAAAGAAGAATATTACATTTAACTGTTTTAAAGTTAAAACGTCCTTTTTTGGAATGTGTTAGTCGCATAAAAGTTAACCTTTAAAAAAATTTTTCTAGCAATAAATTGTTAAGTAGGGAGTGTCAATATGGCTTTTTACGAGTTTCTGTGTCTAGTCTGATGGCTGATGGACCCCATTTTACCTATTTTCCGACCTTAATCTCGCTCCCAGAGTCAGTGTTACCATTGTCCAGTGGAGACGGGGACTTCGGGAACGAGATTGTTCCGACCCAGGAAAGGTCGTTCGATGAAACCTCTGTTTTTTTGTTGTTTTTTTTTCAAGTAATTGATTTTTCTTCATCAAATGTCTGTTAAACGTAGCAAAGAGAAATTAACCGTTAGCCGTAGGAAAGCCAAAATATTAACCGTTAACCGCTACTGCCTCCGCCCTATAACAATTTTCTGTTTTCTCTGCTCGAACTCAAAGATTAGCGAGAATGCTTGTTCGCTGGATATCCCATATCTTGCTAGTTATTATTGCCATGACTAAAACTTGTCACTGATGAATTGAAAAACTTTGATAGAGCTAAGGTGTATCCTCTCCAACTAGTATTTTTAATAGAGGCGTTCATGATCAGGAAAGAGGGGTCCCCTCTCATCCTGTCCCTGACTTTCTGCCGTTGTTCTCTTTGACTCAAACAACGCAGAACTAAAACTCGCTTTAATGACCCTCCAACGGCCAACAATTCTAAGGACACATTAAAAATAAAACAAGGGGACAAGGACAGGATGTTCTGATGTATTCTTCGTACTATTTTTGACCCCTAAATAACAGCGATCGCCAACATCCCCATGCAAACCATAATATTTATGTTACGCAACAACGATTGATTGATTGATCGATTAATGACTGATCGATTGATGGATTGACTGAGTGATTGACCGAGTGATTGATTGAATGATTGATTGAGTGACTGATTAATTGATTGATTGATTGATTGTTGGTTGATTGATTGATTGATTGATTGATTGATTGGTTGATTGATTGATTGGTTGATAAGAAGAAAGTATTTCTGTCATTTTTCTTTATTCTTTTACAGCCTTTGGACTGATAGCAGAGCCTACCTCAGGAAACCTTTCGGTCTACAGTGGATCCAAAGTTCTTTTAAGGTGTACTGACAAAACATTGAGTTCGATATCTACTTTGATCCAGAGTTTGATTTGGACCAAAGATAAAGTTACAATTCCAGCACATGATCTGCGGCTTGATTCGACAAATGGCACATTGTTGATAGAGCAAGTCCGAGAAAATGACACGGGCACTTATGTCTGTACAATAAGAGCTGCAGGATACTTGGGCATCCGCAGCATTATACTTCATGTTATAGGTAAGCCAATAAACCTCTCTTAAAGGACATCTCTATCATATTTCAAGTGTGCCCATCCCCCCGCCAGAACGTTTCTCGCGGCATTTATCAAGTCGTGTATCCCCCGGGCAGGGAATTTGTCCTCTAAGGTCTTTTCCCCGGGGTTGAAGAATTTGTTATTGTTGAATTTCAATTTTCTCCTCCAATTCTAGATCTTCGCAATGCGGTTAATCTTCTGGCCACCGGGGGTTTACGGCCAATTAGCTTTTTAGGGGGGATCGCTGAAAACTTTGGAAGGATTCAGAGAGGGAACCACTCAAATTTGCTTGGAAAATGACGACGTGAGCGGGGGGGGGATCGCGCAAGTCATCAAAAGTTATTAGCCCCAAATCCTCCGCCCCCACCACAGGCGATAAATAATGGCCGATCCCTAAGTACCAGTATGTTTTCCACCATTGATAAGAACATTCACAACCACCACTTCATTTCAACAGACTGTAACTACACCATCCCTTCATAGCCAAATTAGCACTCCCAGCCTTCCACAACTACCTCACTTCAAGACCTAAGATCACTTTTACCTTCCAATAAAATGTTACTTCTCATCGAATTCTATGAGAAACCAGTTTCGTTGATTAAGGTATTAGATCTGCCATAAACCATTCCATTTCAAAAATTTATTCCTCAAATGATACGGAATTTTGCAAAAGAAAAAGTACACAGGTCTATCAAGCGAGAGCTGAGCTTTTAGAAAATTGATATTACAAAACAACGCTTTAGCCATGACAATGACTTTTTAAAAGGACTTTGTTGCAAGTAGAACTTTTACAATAATTTTTCGTACTTTGTGCTGTGAATGATGCACCACAGGAAAATGCAAGTAGGCATCCAAATTGCAAGTCCTTAACGCAGTAATCGTGTAAAAACAATTGAACTTAAACTCGCACTATAGTTCTCTGCACTAATGTTTTTTCGGCTTTGTATAGCATGTTCCGACCCTCTCGGGATGGAGAGCAGAAAAATAACCGATGGCCAGATCACAGCTTCAACCGTATGGGACGCTGCACACGGCGCCACCAATGGCAGACTCAATTTCAAGGCTGGAGGAGGTAGGACTGGTGCATGGTCCGCCCTGAGAAATGACGTTCATCAGTGGTTACAAGTGGGTCTTGGAGCTAAAACCGAGGTGACAGGAATACAGATCCAGGGACGACAAGACGTGGGTGAATGGGTTACGAGCTTTACTATCTCCTTCAGCAGCAACGGCACCACCTATACACCTTATCAGAACAGCAAGGTATGGCAACAGATGAAAATCGTAGCAAGACAAACTCTAGCAATTAATTAAGCTAATTGAATCTCTCGAGAATCTCGACTCTGTAACATGAAATTGTCTCAAAATATTAGTCCCACATTAAAAACTTAGCAACACTGTCCCCCTCCACAAGTACCTAACTAGTTTAACCATAACGCTTCATTTATCTGCTGCAGGTCTTTAATGGAAACACGGACCGCAACACCGTGGTTTTGAACGTTTTGAACCCTTCCATAGATGCACGCTACATTCGGGTGCATCCTAAGACGTGGCGTGGCCATATTTCTATGAGGATGGAACTCTTAGGATGTCCGTTAGGTACTAGCATTTTCTTTTCATTTTCTTGTCAATAAACAAACAGGTTTCCACTTAATCGACAAAAGCGCTCGACTATCTCCTCGCATACTCATTCAACTACAGTTCGGTCTTATATTAATTCCTTTGAATAATCAAAGAGCCAAATATTCAATCAATTTGATAGCAAACACCGTTATGTGTTTTACCTTATCATACTTACAAACCACGGGGGCGTCGAAAATTAAGAGAGAACTACTTACAAACCAAGGGCGTAGCCAGCTTTTCGACATGTTGCAGGCCTGTTCCCTACAGGTAGCATCGAAGGAGACCGGGTAATACGCTGCACTGGAATTTTTCTCAGGTTACACAACCCGACCTTCAAAATGTTCTGGCTTATTCTTTTTATTTCTTTTAATTGTATGCGTAGCTCGTCGAATAGATTGTATCTAAATCTCGAACTACTGATCTCAGTACCGACTCCACTGATACATGTTACTGGCAACCGACCTACCATGCAATGGCGAAAAAAGAAGTTCAATCCTCTTGTTTCTAGAGGTTTCCAAATCATCTAACCAGCGTCAGTGCCTTTCCCAGTTCTTACAAAGTGAAAGTGGCACCGATAAGCCACCGCGTTACGTCTTAGTTGGCGGGTATGACCTTACCAAGGAGTTGAATGAAACCTGGACTATACATCTTCATGCACCTCATCTGTTGCGCGCCTATTTCCGAGATTTTTTCGAATGTAGCCCACTCAGGCGAATAGCAGTTGCTTTTGAAGCTCGTTTTTGTACAGAGATTGAAGCAACACAGACCTAATAGTAGATGGGGGAGTTTGCCAGATTTTAAGATATTTCAACCAAGACTCACGGGGTGCAACATCCAATAGTGTGCAACTTTCAGGTCCACAAAGGCTATGAAGATAATTCCAATAATTAGATAGGGTAGCAATTTTAATCACCTCTCCGAAGATTTCAGCAAATGACCGCATGCCACGTATATGGAATTACCCATTAATACTCGTACTAAGCTACCGAGATGGCACTTGCAGAGTCGTCCATACCAGCTCTGTTAGGAAAAAAAACATACTCAGTTAACAACCGTTAAAACGTCACATATCTAAGATGTTCAGCATGCATATTTTATCTGTTCGTCTCTGGATGGTCCAGGTTGATAAGTGGCGCACTTGACTGTCCCAAAGATGTGTATTGTTTATTCTCCTGCTTTCCTTTGCTCGCTTGAAAGGTTTAATAGTTGGTCTGCCTTGACTTTATAACAGGAGTTCTTTAAATGATTTCTGAGTTTGGTTTAAGAACAAGAGCCTTTATTCTCGCAGGCTTAATTTAGTGCGACTGTTCAGTGGGTTGGTATAGTTCTTTTTGGCACATCGTCTCTGAGATATGGTATATTAACATCTCGGTTAGTAGGCTCCAGATAACAATTCCTTGGCCAAAATGCTCTTGGTCTTCCTCGAAGATTAGGGTTCTATCACGACAATGTGGTGGTTAGATAAAAGACTCACTGTGCAAAGGATAAACGCTACAGTTCTTGGTCGCCAGTTTCGCGTAACATTCAGTAAGTCAACGGCATTCAAACGTTCATGATCCTTTTGGATCCTTGTGGAGATGCGTAAGTGCAAGTCCACCTGGGGATCTTCTTTTATCGTTGTGGGTCTTTTAGTTCGCTCAATGCACTCTCACTGAAAGACCTCTCTCAGACTGCAGATAATTGACAAAGTTAGAAGTGCTGTAAATGCCCACGATAAATTTAGGTGGAACTCTTGAGGACAACAATATGGAAGTGTCTCAACAATTTACTGGTGGCTTTCTGATCATATAGTGCGTTTTCCATCACAATAATTTCCTTTTTGCAGTGGTCGAATGAATACTTTCTGAAATCGATCACATCTCATAAGCAAGTTCAATTTTCGACTTTATACTGGGAAGAGTAATATTGATGAGTCAAGCAGGCGGAAGAAATTGTGGGCCCGAGCCTACAGACCTGTAGGCTGGCAACACCTCTGCAAACTAATGCAATTTTACAAACAACGCTTCAGCAACAATAACTGTGTTACAAGTGGCGTCTTTAACTTTCATTTCCCTGCAACGTGATATGAAAAATACGCCACAAACATACACAAGTAGGCATCCAAATTAAAGTCGAAAAAACACCTCCTATTATAACCTTGTAAGACAGTTCTCGCTCAGCAAGCAAAAAAGGCTAACACTTTCAACTCTGGACAGAACGATTCTACGACATCATATACTTAACAGACGCAATTGAGCTTAAACTTGCACTATAGTTCCTTGCAATAATAATGTCTTCTTTGTGCATAGCATGTTCCGACCCTCTCGGGATGGAGAGCAGAAAAATAACCGATGGCCAAATCACAGCTTCGACCGAATTCCACGGGGACCTTGCATACGGCGCCGAGAATGGTAGACTCAATTTCAAGTATAGAGTAGATGAGGCGGGGGTACGTCAGTCTGGTGGCTGGACCTCCCAAGTACGTGACGTTCATCAGTGGCTACAAGTGGATCTTGGAGCCAAAACCGAGGTGACAGGAATACAGACCCAGGGACGACAAGATCGCTTTCAATGGGTTAGGAGCTTTACTATCTCCTACAGCAGCAACGGTACCACCTATACACCTTATCAGAACAGCAAGGTATGGAAACCGATGAAAATCGTAGCACGACAAACTCTAGCAATTAATTAAACTAATTGAATCTCGACTCTGTAACATGAAATTGTCTCAAAAGATTAGTCCCACATTAAAAACTTAGCAACACTGTTACCCTCCACAAGTAACTGACCAGTTTAACCTTTTAAAAATACTTCATTTATCTGCTGCAGGTCTTTAATGGAAACACAGACCGCAACACCGTGGTTTTGAACGTTTTGAACCCTTCCATAGATGCACGCTACATTCGGGTGCATCCTAAGACGTGGCGTGACCGTATTTCTATGAGGATGGAACTCTTAGGATGTCCGTCAGGTTACGAAAATTTCTTTTTCCTTTTCTTCAGTTGGCAATAAACAAACAAATTTTTTTCCATTTTGGTCTAAAAATAAGGGGGCCCGCTCGTCCCCCCCACCCTTCCCGTGTCTTCAACTTTCTTTTACATTACGGTTCTTATCTACCCAAAAGCTATCTATGGACAAAGAAAATGAAAGGAATCTACTTTTCAACTCTTGCCACGAAATCAGGATTTTTGCTCAATTTTTCCTGACCTTCGCTCTTAAACATTCTCGATAGTGTCTTTTGTTTGTCACAAACAACAACTAGGTTTGTACTTCTTACCATTTTGAATCATATAATTTTTATCCGTTATTTTGTAAACGGTCTTGGGTTTTTTTCTTCTGGGATAGCAAATTACTTCTTCTTCAGCATCAGTGCAAAAACGAATTGACATACAGACTTCCGCCATCGTTTTTTATGCGAACTAATCACAGAACCTTTTTTATTCGTGCTTCGCGCTCGAATTAATTTTTTAACCTTGATAAAACACTGCAGTTTGTGTTCCCTCCTACAAAGACCATAGCGCTTGACCAATAAGCGGGCGCACAGTCACTTCGTTATTACAGTATAAACTGTTATAGACCTTAGCTCTTGACCGAAGAAAAGGCGAGAAATTACTCAGTTTGTTATATTGTATAGAAGCCAAATGAATCACTCACTCCATAAATGCATTTTACTTTACTGTTAATAGTTGGCGCTCCTATTGAGGGTGGATTGGGAGAATGGAGTCAATGGTCACAGTGTAAACCCCCCGGTATTGCAAGTAGAACGCGATTGTGTAACCGACCACCTCCCGCGAGGGAGGTGCAATCCTGTCGGGGTCACGTATTTGAAGCACAGTTTTGCCTTTTTCCAGGTGAGTAAATGTGAGATAAGAAAAAAAAGGAGGAAGAAATTCCACCTTCTTTATGATGGGAACAACCGTGATTAAAGACAGAGAGTGACGTTATGCCTTTTAAACCTTTATACACTAGGAACAACATTTAAATTTAACTGCTCCCTATTGGGTCTCTTTTGGTTAGAGAACTCGAAGATCTAATGTGGAGGTCAATGACGAGACCAATCCTTGCCCAGGCCAAAAGTTTGTAAACGTTAGTCCCAAGGCAGTTTTAGAAGGATTTTGGCATTTGAATAATACTTAAAGAAACAAAGAGCTAGCATTAATATATTGTGCAGCATATTTCCATAAATCAAGCACAATTTTCGGCATTCAGAAAAATACGAGCTGTCAAAGCATACCTACATGCAGCTCTGTACCTAACAAAATTAAAAAGAGAAGAGGGAGCTGTTATGACCAACAGAAGCCCGGCATTTGCCTAATTTGCAAGTTAGTGCAAACAGTAACAATGAAGTCT